AATTTGTTGTAAACCCCAATTATGATCTAAGAAATGTATTGTGGCAGTTAAAAAACTGTTTTTTTTACAAGCCCATATGTCTAATGTAAGTGCATATATATTCCTAAAATTTTGAAATTCGTTTTTAAGTTTATTATTTTTGTTATAAATTTTTAGTATACTCTTCTACTTGTACTTTCTACTAACAGGGGTATATGCTGGAACAAAATGCAGTTTTAATCATGTGAATAAAATAAGGATTTTCGATAAACAAATGAGAGAGTCCATAGCAACTATGAATCTTGCTATTTCCTCTCGTGCAACATGTGCATTGTATTACCATGTTGAGAGAGTTAGTATTGTGGATTAAAATTAAGTTGAGTTTGAATTTGCCTACTTGATCGGTTAAGATGTACCAGAGACGTTATTATTGGGGTGCTTCTTCTCCAAGTGTCGTCGAATAGTCAAAGTCCCTTCTTAGCGCCAATAATGTTCCACAGAAATACATCACCACATGACTCTTCCCCTCCCCATTTTGTCTTTGAGTCGTTTTGATTTGGTGAAGTGTCGCATATATTGGACACGACCCTCTTTAGACAGTTGGGGGGGTTTGGTTATGCCCATGCCCTTGAGCGAGTGGCTTGTTGTTTGGCTGAACCTTCCGTGGCCCGGACCGAATGTTGTTGTTGAATTGCATTTACTCCTTGAGCAAAAGTGAAAAAGGATTAAACTTCTATTTCTTCTTGTGATGGACGTAAAGCTATTTGGAAGAGATCTGAATGATCATTTTGGGAATCATTATGAATTTATGATAAAATAATAAATAATTAAATGCAAAAAAAAAATTAAATAATATCTGATAAGAGCATGATATTGAAAAATAGAAAAAAATGAATAATAAATAAAATAAATAAATAATGAGTAAATTATAAATATAAATGTAAATTGAATCAGACTTTGATTGGAGATTGGGAGGTAGAGAGTAGAGAATGATTGAGAGAATAGAGATTAAGTGGTGTGGAAAAAAATGAGAAATTAGGGATATTTATAATTTAGCTTGGGGGGGAGACGTCCAGCCCGTTGCAACCGACGGTTATTAAAGATTTTTTTCTAATTTTGTAAAATTTAATTTTAACAACTTCATTTTCTGTTTATTTCAAAATATAGGGGTTTTATGTAATTATACAGGGGCTAAAAAATGAAAAGGGTTTGGGCCCAGGGCTTGGAGAAGGGCCCAATGGAGGACAAGCCCTCCTCCTTAGGCCTGGTTCGGTTTGGACTAGGCTTGTTAGGACCGGTCCTAGGATCGGGTTTTTGGGTCAGATTTTGGACCCGGTCCAAATGCCCAGCTTACTTGATGCGTGGAAGGCATTGTGCATCTCAGGAGATCCCACACGCAAAGGTGCCATTGAACCCACACCCGTTCTCGAGGAAGTAGTTGATGGTTTAACTATCGGTATTATCTCTTTCCACATTGTGGTGTTGATGGAAGCGTGAAAAAAGACTTGGAGTTGGTTACTCGTAACTTTTCGGCCAAAAGGAAATGGGCTAAGATAGACCGCCCCATGGGAAAGGTAGTTGCCAATGGCTTGGGCTTGTAGGGTGAGATTTGGTTGGTTGGGCATTTTGTCGGCAGGGGTGGGCGTGTGTTTGAGGTGTTTTTTGACGAAAATGAAAGGTGTTAGGGTGAGCTGTGAGGTTTAGAAGATTTTGGTTGGTGTTTGTGGTTGGTGAGGACGTGGTGAGGGTTGGGAGGTGTTACAAAGCAACCAAGTAGAGCTACAGGGTACACACACGTGTGTCTTGGGCGCTGGGTGTTGTTAAGGTAATTGCTATGAAACATCAACATCACCAAGCTGAAATTGGAGGAAGTTCATGGGTTAAGAGGGAAAGGGCTAGAAAAGCACCACACAAGCAAATCCCAAAACTTCAAACACTCTAAAAAAGCAATCAAATCCACCAAACAACTCAAAAATACACCAATTTCAACCAAACCACAAAGAACACCACAAGAAAATCCTAAGGTTGGCTAGCGACACATGAAGAACCGGTTAGCGACACACTACGAATGTGTGTTGTCAACTGCTTTAGAGCATCGATGCATGTTAGCATGCTAACGATGCTCATGCTACAATAAGTAGATTGGGAGAAAATTTCCCCTCTATCCAAAAATATCTTTTTCTCCTAATCTTTCTCTCTCAAAATTTCAATTATTATTTTGCATTGTTGTGCTTTTGAGTCTCTTCAACTTCCCAGAAGCAACTAAAGGGGTTTCCCAAAAATTTAAATTATTGGTTTGCATTGTTGTGCTTTGGTTTGTATTGTTTGTTGCATAGAAGGTTGGAAAAGAAGTAGTTGGATTGGTTTTTTTGGTTGGGTTTTTTTTGTGTTTGTGTTTGTGTGTAGTAGTATAAACAATTATGTTAGGGTTGATACAAATGCTTTTTTCAGGGAAAGTCATATACCCTTAAATTTTAACTACCTCTTTTTTTTTTTTTTTTTTTTTTTTTAAATTTCAAAACCATAGATTTGTGATTAAAGAATAAGTTCCAACAAGTAGCAAATGCCTCCCAAACAGTCAATTTATGTAAGTGATATCTTTCTTTCCTGTGGAAACTTTTCTGAAAAGACTCAAATACACTTCGCCTTTTGAGTCTCCTTAGTAGAAAATAAAATATATTGTGGCCCTTCTGTAACCCCAGAAATCAAAAGAGGGAATGATGGAGGTAAAGCTAATCACGAGGAGGCTAGATTTCTTATTATTGGAGGGGCTAGCTCTGTCCTAAACACCTCAGTAATTTGAAAAAAAAAAAAAAAAGTCTCATTAAGTTTTACATATTTAAGATATCGTTTTGGGATGTTTATTAGGTTCACTATTTGGCTTCTTGATTAAGAAAGACAGCTCAACAAAACTTAAACAGAGCATTTCCTGTAACTGCATTCACTAAGTAAGGGATGGCTTCAAGCAACCAATGTAAATCGTCAAAAGTGGCCTAAATTTTCAAATAAAAGTTGTATAAAAATTTGTGTTTTTTCGTCAAACATGCAGAATCATCAAGGATGACATTGAATAGTTTGATCCGCCAATAATTTGGAAAAGCAATATTGGAAAAACGTGAAACACACATATATCAACATTGCAATCGAATCACGACACTCTATATCATTGACATGATACACGAAGTGGATTGTCAAACGGATTTTTTTCTACATAAATATCTATTATTGCCTAACCATACCCACGAATTAATGCTTCATGACTTATTGTTGTAATCCAAAACGACTTCACCAAATTGCGAAGCTGAAAATCGCATCAGAAAGTCAATTGGTTCTTCCAAGATCAAGAAGATATGTGTAGTATGGCTTAGCCCAGACTTTCAGAACCAAAATTCAAATATTTCAAAGTATCTTCAGTCAGCTTAATTTTTTAGAACATAAGTTTCTGTGCCATCAACTTTAAGCTGATAGCATGAACAAACGAATTGAACTTGAGATGATAATGAAATTAGAAAAAAGGAGAAACATGTTCTTGCACATTGATGCACAGAATCAAGCAGATTTTGAAGAAAACCCAACAATAAAATGAGGGAGCAAAGCAAATTAATCCCCCAGAACTCTGGAACTATCGGTCGGATAAGAACCCAATGACTACCCCTATTAGCAATCGAAAAAGGACTCAAACTCATGACCTCTTAAGTAATACACCTAAGAGTTTCTATCGAACCACTCGACCACCTAGAAGTAGTTAGGAAATTTATTTTAACCTGCTCTGGGATTTGTAAATCTTCTAGGAAGGAAATCTTATTGATTGAGATAGAATAATCATCTCTTTTTTCTCATAATCCAACAAATCCCCAGTCCTCACATCCCAAACCACAAAGTAAAACAAAGAGAAAGTGAGAGAACAACAGAATGAAGCCTTTCCCTCAATGGCACAAGTGGTCCCATGAGTCATGGATTCATGTCGCTCATCTCCATTATCCAGAAACAGTCCAGACAACCAGTTGGCCCCGCAGCCTCGGGGTCAGATTTCCACAGTGCAGTCAAAAATAATTGAGCTTTTAGTTAGAATGAATTGATAGCATAAATTTGACAAGGAGCAGTTATTAGCACAGAACAATACGCATTGGTTCATTAATTTGATTTCTATAGAGTTTCTACAGATGTCCTTCATGCCTCCAAATTATTGCCTTCCAACTTATATTCCAAGAACTGGACTTATTATAGAAATACATGACAGCACAAATCAAATAGGTTGTTTCCCAAATTTACAGCTACGAAATGCAGAAAAACAAGACCAAATTAATACTGACAGTAATGGAAGGAAAATTATGGTTTCCTTATAAAAACAACTCCAACGAAATCCCCAAGGTATGATTGCCTTTTATCTTCAAAGTTAATTCTTGCGAAAATAATCTTATTTCTGTAGCAAAGCATGGTGCTAGTTCTCAATTTTTGCTCTATAAGATCGAAGTGAATCAATTTGCTGGTTTATCTAAATCATATTTTTTAAAAGATCATCGAGTAATTTAACTGAATATATAGTTCCTGTCCATTGAAACTGACCTGGCACTTCTGTGCACTCTACTATGCTAAACTCACAAAACTGATGAAACAAAATTTAGCACCATGTTCTAGCCCAAGCTCCTTAATTTGCATAGAACTACAGCGTCTAGTACATAAACTTCCTTTCACTTCAATTATTTTTCAGATACTGCATGTCACAGAATCAAACAATGGAAGGGTAACCTAACTTTTCTAGCCATATTTCTAATTGAAACTCTCTACTTCCAATGGCATCACCTTAAAAGAATATAAGGCAAAACTGCAGCAAAATCAAAAACAGAGACGGAAGTCTTTCAAAAAATGTGACATTAAGAGAAGGAAAGCAATGTACAGATATTCAGAGATCATCGGTTTTCACAGTAACCTATCACATTGATGAAGCTCATGCAAACCACAAATTTGCAGAACTATATACCTTGTAAGTATGACACAATGAAAAGGACAAAGGAAAAAGGGAAAAAGGAAAGTGCATATATCCATTCATCATTTCAATTAGATATTGATAGAAAACAACATATAAGGCACCCACCAAAGTGCGAAGATCAGTAGAAACTTGTATTTTCATTTTCCGTATACTAATCTAATCATCTCGACATAAGAACATAACATACAATACATAATAGCATCTATTTAAGTAGCACAAGAGAACAATCAAAGCAATTAGGAAAAAAAAAAAAAAAAGGAGTACATCATACAGAGGCCTGCCTGTCTCTCTACTCAGTATCCGAGGGCAAATGAGAAGCATCAACAGCAGAAACAACTGCAGATTCTGATTCCTCCGTCATCAAATTTTGCAACCCCGGTTTCAATTCGTTATTACAAAATTCTTCATATTCTCCTCTGTCTCCTCCTTTCTTCTTTACCTCCAGTACCACCAATTTCGGTGTTAATTCAAATATTTCAGCTGCAATTGTCAAAGGCCCTTTTACACCTTCTCTAGACCCCTCCAAACTCACTCTACAATCCTTCTTCCTCACTGTAAAACTCACCACCTTAGCAATCTCCTCCAATTTGGATATAATCTTTGAAACCGGAGCTCCAGACACAAATCTCGAACCCTCTCCTCCCTCTTCAAATAATCCAGATAAATCAAATCCAGGAGAAAAGGATATAATATCAAATGCATTCAAACTAGCTGGTCTGGGTAACGAAGTTAATTTCCTTCTTGTTTCCATTTCAGATTCTGATTCGGACAATGATTGATCAGATGATGATCCCACATCCGTCTCATCATCCTCCTCAACATTACAGAGCTTATCATCCTCTATATAAAACTTTATATGCTTAAACCCTCTTTTAAACCATCTGAACTCCATGATTCCCGGAATAGTAATTCTTGTCTCAGGATTAGTATCAAGTAACCTTGATAAAAGCCTGGTTAACTCAGGAGAAAACCATCTTGGACATCTAAATTCACCCTTATAAATCTTCTTATACATAGCCATAATATTTTGATCATGAAAAGGCAAATAACCAGCCATTAACACAAATAGAATCACCCCACAAGACCAAATATCTACCTTAGCTGCCTCATAACCTTTTCTCCCTAAAACCTCCGGAGCCACATAAGCTGGAGTCCCACAAAAAGTGTGAAACAAACCATCTTGACGAATCTGATCGGACACAGCACTAAGTCCAAAGTCAGAAACTTTAAGATCACCATTCTCGTCAAGTAACAAATTTTCAGGTTTCAAATCACGATGGTAAACGCCGCGCGCATGGCAAAATCCGACGGCTGAAATTAACTGCTGAAAGTATTTCCTCGCAAGATCTTCTTTTAATCTTCCTTTGGCAACCTTGTTAAAGAGTTCACCACCCCGAACATATTCCATAACAAAATAGATCTTGGACTTAGTGGCCATCACTTCAAACAATTGCACGATGTTGGGGTGGCGAACTCTACGAAGAATTGAGATCTCACGCTTGATGTGTGCCATGAGTCCACTTTTCAAAATCTTTTCTTTATCAATAACTTTGATGGCCACACTTTCGCCGGACTTGATGTTGCGTGCGTGGTAGACTTTGGCGAAGGTGCCATGACCGAGAAGTTTGCCGACCTCATAGCGGCCTAAGAGAGGGCTTTGTTCTTTGTTGGAGTTGGACCTGGAGATGGTGGGGGTGCGGGTGCGGGTGGAGGTTGGGGTAGCGGTGGTGGCGGTTTGTGCCATAAATGAATGAATCGGGGATGTGAAAGAGGTGGAGGAAAAAGGGTATTTGAAGAACTAATGATTGTTTTGTTGCATTGAAGGTTGGAGAAGTTGTTTTGGTTGTTTGTGTTTGTGTTTGTGTTTGTGTTTGTGAGACTGATAAACACTTACGGGTTGGATACAGATGCTTTTTTTAGGGAAAGGCATATACCCTTTAAATTTTTAACTGCATTCTTTATTTTTTAAATTTCAAAATTATAGGGTAATGTTTTTTTCTTATTTAAAATTACTAACCTTCTAAAAGTCAAATTATGTTATTGATATCTTTGTTTCCATGCGAAACTTATCTAGAAAAGACTCAAAACTTCCGACTCTCCGAGTCTCTTTATACTTTTAAAGCTCCTGTCCATCTAGAATTTTAACATTACCCAATTACTTCATTTGAATCTATTAGTTTTATCCAAGTAAAATTATTAATTTAATTCTTCGAGTAGTCTTTTATACCTTCAAAGCTCCTAACAATCTAGAATTTTAACATTACACAATCATTTCATTTGAATCTATTTGTTTTATTCAATTTAAGTCCTACCCAAAGTTATTAATAATGTAGAATTTTAATATTACACAATTACTTCATGTAATTTATAAGCAAATGACTAGTTCCCACCTAAGGTATGCAAAATGACAAGTTCCCACCCCTAGTTTCATCTTTCCATATTTTCACCCTTAAATTAACACTATTAGTGACTTTTAAGTTCTGACACAGATGTAGAGCGTGCTATTACCAAACTACCCTCACTTATTCTTCTTTTTCATCTCCCCCTCCCCCTCCTACCTCTCCCATTTTTCTTCTTCTTCATCTCCCCCTCTTCCTCTCGTCCTCATGCTCTCCCATTCTAGGTCCATTGGCCTCCCCTGACACCACCACTAGCATCTGCGTCCTCCCTACACCAAAACCCCCATGATTTTCACCTGATTACTCCCACCAATCGTCAATCGCTGTTACATTTAGGGTTATGCCTTTTCAAGCCAAATTATGACCAATTCCGACGGCCAAAATCCCACTCAACACCACCACCAGCATCCTCGTCCTCCCTACATCAAAATCCCCATGATTTCCACCTGATTGCTCTATCCAATCGTCAACCGCCGCTAGGTTTAAGATTTTTCCTTTTCAAGACAGATTTTTACCAGTTTCAACGACCAAAATCCCACTCGTCACCACCCCTAGCATCACTGGCTCCCCCTCATCAAAACCCCCCATCACCCTAGCGTTTGGCAGCTCGTCGAACATCATTCGCCGCCCTTTTGGTTGTTATGAGAATAGTCTTCCTTCTTTTTTTTTTGTTTTTTCTTTTCGAGTTTTTGTGGAGAAAGTTTAGATCTTTGCTTGATTTGAGTTGTGTGTTGTTGGATTCTCAAATTGTTTTAGTTTTAGGATCTAGGGTGTTTTGATTTCGGGGTATGAAGTTTGGATTTGGGTTTGATATGGTTTGATGAAGGGGAGATGAAGTTCGGATCTGGCAGGGGTCCAGGTGCCGAAAATTCTGGTCGAATGAGATCTAGAATTTGGAGTGACCATTTTACCATTTAACTATTACGTTAGACAGATTTCTCTTAATTTAAGAGTGAAAATCTAGAATTGATGAAACCAAGGATTGAAACTTATCATTTCGCTAAACCTTGGGCGAGAATATGTCATTTGCTCTTTGATAAAAGGAGATTGTCGATTCTATAGAGTGCTTTATGTAATATTGAAATGTGAATCTTCTGAGAGATCTATGTATATGATATTAGTGTTTAATTGTGCGGCCATTAATGTGCACATATGTGTATGTAAATGTTTGTATGTTTACTCAACGCACAATTAATAGTTTAAGTATTTACAATATCAAAAGTGCAAGTAAATTGCACCATAGATATTAGTTTTACCTTCTAATTTAGTAGTAGGTACTTAATGATTGACACATATATGAAGGAACCATCAACACCAACCTAGGCATGGCAATGTTCCCCGGGATTTCAGGGACCCGTCCTGCCCCGCCCTATATGGGGCGGGAAAGCCCCTGTTTTTTTAGGGATAAGGGCGGGGGTGGGGGGTGTTTTAATCCCCGTCCTCGGGGATGGGGCGGGGGTGGGTGATGCCTTTCCCCCGCCCCGCCCCGTATATAATATATAAAATTAAAAAAATGTATATATATATTTACTTTTCACTAATATCTCTATATTTCACCTAATTACACAATTATCCTACCTATATAAATCCATATTTTCCTAATTTCTCTCACTCTAAATAATTGAACAAGAACAAACCCTGACCCATATTTATGTATAATTAATTATGTTTAAACGATTAATTTAAGTGTTTGTCATGTGGACGAGAATTAACTATTGTGTTTGATAATGCTCAAATTAATTTATTTTTATATAAAATTAACGGGGCGGGGACGGGCCTCCAACATTCCCCTTTGGGGCGGAGAAGGGGAATTCCTGTCATTACTGTAACGGGGATGGGGCGGGGGTGGAGAATGATTTTGAGGGTGGGGATGGGTACGGTGAATGAGATCCCCGCCCCATTGCCATGCCTACACCAACCCCATAAATTCTAAATGAATTATTATTTTTATATTCTATATTGTAAATAAATAAAATTCCCTTTGATCATTTCACTTTAGCTAATGTTGACCAATTTTAGGGATGTTTGTGATAGTTTTTTAAAATATTGTGTCCTTAATGTAGAAAAAATTGAAGACACCAAAAATGTAACTATCCCAAAATACAACATAATTTTTTTTTTTTTTTAATGACCAAGGGTATCTAAGTCAATTTATGTACACTTCAACTAATTTTTTGAGAACATATAACTATCGGCCGAGTAAAAGCTCTAATGACTATCCCTATTAGCAGTCGAACTCAGAATTTCTTGAATAATACCACCAAGAGTTCCTATCAAAACATTCGACCACCCAAAGGTAATTAAATGTAATTTCAATAATGTTGTAAGTAAAGTTTATAGAAATTATAAATTAATTTTTCATAATTTTGAATTAACATAAAATACTGTTGATAACAACTAACAAGAACAAGAAACAGATGTATCTAACGCCTACAAAATCATGCAAAAATTTCTTATATGTTATGTGTTACCTTAACTCGTAAAATTTCCCCTTTTTCTTAATTTCTTAAGCTATTTCCCAATTTATATGACTAAAATTAATTCTCATTAAATTATAATTTGTTCTATAAGACAAGTTTTTAACACACCATAAATAAATAGTGAAGAGTAAAAGCATCCAGGTTGAGTCCAGGTGGCGTAAAAAGAGAGGAAAAGGGAGGCGGTGAGTTTTGGTCTGTGACAGTTCAACATTTTCCGATAGAGTGAATACGGTGAATAGTGAAAATGTAACGGCTCTTTTAACATCTTCACAGAATCCGAGGTTCAAATTTATACAAAGACTTGTTCCTATTTCCAACCACACAAAACAAGCTGTCAACCGGTTTTTTGTGGGCACCACGTGTTGTTACGTCATCTGCTTACGTGTACTCGTGCAGCACACGTAGGCTAACTTTTTTTTTTTTTTTTTCCAGTTTCTATGCTTATCGACTTATCCGCTGTAGATAAGCTTCCTTGTTGTATTTGTTCTCACCATCTCTGATGAGTAATCAGACGGCTCTAATCATTTTTGTGGCGAGATATTTTTCAACCGACTAAATAGTTAAATTTTAATTTTATTCAATGTGCTGGGTTGGTTACGTACAGGTCCTTTGAATCTTGCGATGGAATTCATGTCAACTCGATGGTCGGTGATGATTGACTGACGCGCAAGCTTTTTCTTTTAATTTTTTTTTAAGGAATAAAATAAATAATTAAATGTAAAAAAGAATTAGTGATATAGGTCCCGCACATGAGGTGGGTTGTATTAATGAATATATGAATATGGTGAAGGGAATTAATCGAAAAGGTGAATGGGCAAGTAAATTGTCTACCAACCCACTTATTCATATGTTGTAATATAATATTAAGTTATGGGGATTGAGGTACCAGTAAACTACTTTTTCCCACTCAAGGTTTACCTTAATGACACTTTCCCACCTAAAACGTTTTAAAATATCACTTTCTTACTCAAAGTTTATATTTTGTTATTATCTAAAATACATTTCAATTTCTCAGCCAACGTTCAACGAGTTACCACTTACCAGAACCAAGGTACGAGGAGTTTTATAGAGTGGATGCCGGTTGATTGAATGGTGGTAACCGATTGAATATTCATCTTCGGAATCGACTGAAAATCAATTAAGAACAGAAAACCTTAACTTTGCGGTGGTTGGCAATCAGTGAGAAATTAGGTGCCAGAGTGAAAGAGGTTTTGTAGAGAGGAGACTAGAGGTTCAAATGATAATGACGGAGAGAATTTTTGCCTTCATAATTGACTTTGGATAATAACTGAATATTAACTTTGGGTGAAAAAGTTGTATTTTGAAACTTTTTGGGTGAGAAAGTATTATTAAGGCAAACCTTTGGGTGGGAACAAGTCGTTTACTCTTGAGATACCCAATCATTTGTTTATTTTTTGCTCTTGAAAGGATCGCCTTCAAGGAGATTTGGAAGGATTAGGATTTAGGGTATGAGAGTTGTGGTTATTATTTAAAGGGTTTTAATACATACCCAAAAATCATTTGATGGGCATTATTTTTAAGGTAGAAAAAGACGGCAAACTTCGTTATACAAAAACAAGTAGGTAGAAGTAGAAGCGTACACTACACTCTCCAAGTTCCATGGAGATAGCCAGCCAGTCAGCCAAATAAGTTGGTTGTGTTTGTGTATATGTAGAGTTTCTGTTTTGGGTGATTAATAAATAGGTTTTAGATGCAAGTTTTAATGCACAAGGAAAGTGAATTGGATTCCACATGATAATATATGTTGGCTTAACTAAAATGTAGGGTTGATGAGTTCAATATATTCTCAAACTTGGGTTTTGGTTAGTTTCTTCTCTTATTAATATTTGTTCGAAAGAATTCGCCTGGCCTAGGCATGGCCCATTTACAATTGGATTGAAAATTATAATTGAGTGCTTTCTATTGCCACCCATCTACAAGTTAAGAGAAATAGCCCGTTTCTCCTCCTCTCTTGAGGGTCCAATTTCAATTAAAAAAAAATAAGAGTTGATGTCATTTAAGC